ATTAAATATTACACGTCATTAAATATCTTATTCTACATACAGTATATATCAGTATTTAAAGTATATCTATTTCTTTTCTTACTTAATTTAAAAGCGGCATAACCTTTTCGCGTAATCGGTTAAATGAATTTTTGAAACAAAAACAATCTTGAACAAATATTCTTGCACATTTCCAAGTTGTATACTATACCTTTTCAAAATAGATTTAATTTGGAATTCTATACACGAAGTTTTCGAAGTTTTCGATGCCTGTTAAAAGCTATTTTCATAATGTTGCTAAAACAAAGGATTGGTGTCATTAAATATCTCATTCTACAAAAAATATACTAACCGGATTCAATCCCTACGCGCACTTAAACCCTATTTCTTTGTTTAATACTCTTACTTAATTTAAAAGCGACACAACCTTTGCGTAATTGTTTAAGTGATTCCCTAAGAAAAATTCTTGCATATTCCGAGTGGTTAATTTATCGTATACTATACCTTCTCGATATAGATTTAACTTGGAATTCTATATACGAAGTGTTTTAAGATTAATAAGCATATATGTGAAGAGTAATTAATGAAACAAATAATTATGTATTACGCTTCACTATTAAAGTCTAGATATGGTCTTTGAAAGAATATAAGTTGATATTTTTATTAGTTATTAATTCAAATTTATTATAAATATGTGTCTTGTTCATTGCTTAAGTATCAAAATTTTTTGAATCGCAAATAGATATTTTTTTAAAAACCCATTTTTGATAAAAGGAATAAATTTCAAAAGAGACCGAAAATGTTTTTCGAACAATGAAAAATCGAGTTTGAGCAATATGCGATTTCCAAGAGACGCAAAATTCGCAAATCGAACACGGATGAAAATGAGGATGATAGAGACGCAAAAAGAAAAATGCCATTTCCGAAAGTTCACCTGGTTGTTAATTTGCTCGATGATGTTGAGATCGAGGTGGAAGATATGCAGATTCTCGCGAATGTTATCGATCTCACAAGAATCGATAAAGAACCAGAAAGACAAACCGAGAAGAACGAAGTGATCGATCTAATGATTGGTGATGAAGATGCATCGAAACCATCTCGCATCAGCGAGGATGAAAAAATCATCGAAACCGTTAAATTGATGGTTCCCGAAATCAATAACGACATATTAAGGGTCATCTTTAAACATATTATCGATGATATATTTGAAAACATACTTAAAGACGAAAATGTAGGAAAGGAAGCCGGAAGCATCATGTGTACTGACAGAAGATTCAACATTCTTTTCACTGAGGTTTTCTTTAAAGAACTCGATTACTACGTCAAAAAAATGAGAGTTTTTGAAACTGTATCCCTACCACAAATTGAAGATGAGAAAACCAATGATATCGAAAACACGGAACTCTTGGAATCACTCCCGGAAATCGAAATGTGCAGGAGTGAATTTCTACTGAGAGTTATGAACAAAAATAAATCCTTTGAAAATATTTTTCTGAGAAACAAAAATCAAGCTGCCACCGAGTACATTTATATGATATTAGAAGACATAATGATTAGAGATGATTGTGACATTCACATATTTGCCATGATTAAAAAGGTCTTTTCGCTCGAAGCACTCGAAAAAAATGGATTGCAAGATATGTTACGAAAAAAATACCAAGAAAAAGTATTATATAAAATAGATGTCATCGGATTATTAAAATTATGGTGTGTTGTAAATGATTTTGTAAGACTGTTACATGATTCAAGACCAGAATACTTATACTTAGCATACATCGACAGTGGTCTATTACGCAAGCTTTACGATAACTTTCAGGAAGACTACGAAGAACAACTTACTGTGAAAAAGTTTATCGACTCAGTAATATCCTATCTAAATAACACATCGGGTTTTGAAGCAAATTACAATATATTTTTTTGTTTACTTGATAAATATGTAGCCAGAGATTTCAAAGAAATCATGTATAACATCATTATATGACATATTTAATTGTACCAATAATGTAATAAAATTATACTTCTCGGTGAAGTTTCTAATGGACCATTTATTAATACAATACAAGCTCAATAGCACATATTGTATCCTACGATCACGTTAAACTTGGAAAACGTTCAAAAGATACATTAGATGATGCTTTAAAATTTCAATTTGATATTTTATTTGCTTTATTGAGTTGTTAAAATTTATTTAATTATTCTCAATTTTTTATATACAATGTTGGATCTTTTAGAAAAAAATATAAATTAATCTAAAGTTAAGCTGTCGAATAAAGTTCTACAGTACCGGACAGCAAAAACCATCCAATTCTTTTTTAAAGGCACCAAATTTTGAGATTATATAATCAAATATGATTGGTTAATTTTTGTACAATGAATTCTGATTGGTTAAAAATATATATATACAATTTTTTTTTATATATTAAACGCCAAATTTTTGATTACATATAAACTTTAAGCTTTAATAACTTTTTAACTTTATAATAAAAATAAAAATCTATTTTAACAGAATTGTAGCTTAGACTAAAAGCAACAAATCTGTAAGACAGATTTTTTAAAAATCATTGGTTTTTTGGAATAAGCATTTTTATATTTTATATAAAAAGTGGATGTTTTTTGCTGTCCAGTACTGTAAAATAATTTCTAAAAATCGAACAAACTGCAGGATTTAACCTTGACTTCTCACAAAATAATTGCGATAGCGTGTTCATAATAGAGATGTGAACTATAATTATATTAATATAAATAATCTATTTAGTTTACACAAAAATTGGAGGTGAAACATAGCTTTCTTTTCATAAGTTTTTTATAGTCTTTGTTTGGGTCCCAGGAGGAAGATTCTGAAAGATTTGTGAAGACATTGTTGCATCTAAAGTAGCTACCCATCTAAAGTAACTACTTTAAATATCTAAAGTAATTACTTTAGATATTTATTTAAAATGCAAGTTAACATCTCTGAGAATTCTTGGGAAAAAGTGAGAAAATGAAACAATAAATAAAATTAACTTATTTTGAAGCAATAAAACTATTATGAGCGTATCAAATCAATTGGTTAGACAGAGTTTATTTATTATTTTTTTCAGGAAACAATTAGTTGCTTTTCTGTAATTATTATATGCGTTTTCTTCATTGTTCTTGACGACTATGCCTTTATTGTAGTATTTCCCAAGTTTACTAAATCCTTCATAGCTTCCCATCTCCGCGGATCTTTGATAGTAGATGAAAGCCTTCTTTTCGTTCTTTTCAACTCCGATTCCTTGTTCATAACAATAACCAATATTATTAATTCCATAAACGTTCCCCATATCTGCAGATTTTTGATAATAGCTGAATGCCTTACATTCATCCTTTTCAACTCCGTACCCATTATGATAACAATATCCAACCTTATTTATTCCATCTAGATTTCCCATTTCTGCGGACTCTTTGTAATATTCAAATGCTTTATCATTATTAAATTGTGTTCCAATACCTCTGCTGTAACAATTGCCAACGTTGTATATTCCGTCAGAGTTTCCCATATCTGCGGATCTTTGGTAATATACAAAAGCCTTTTTATTGTCTTTATGAATCCATCGACCGTAATAGTAGCATGTGGCGATAATCAAGTACTTCTTATCATTGTTCGGACTTTGTAGAAGTGATCGAAATACGTGATATGGATCTTGTTGAACACACAAGATTTCATCTTCTATTTTGTTGAGAATTGGTAGAATGTTAGAGGTTTTCGAGGGTTTCGATTCTTTGTATAAAGTATATAATCTATCAATGAAGTAGCAGTTGGTACCCATTTTAAGTTGACAAGAGTTTTTAATATTATGAACTCGTGTCTGATGTTTAATTTGTTGCTTCATTTTGATGTTCTTTGGTAAATAATAATAGGTAAATAGTAATTTATTGTGTTAATTATGAAAATTGATTTTGAGTTTAAAGGATGGGTAAAGTCAGAAGAACATGGTTTTATATCTTTTAAGGATGCACACGCAGAGTCTTTATCTTATATTTAGCATCTCATTGGAAAAATATGGTTAATAATCTAAGACTAAAACTGAATTAACCATTCAGACACTAACGAATATAAATACAAAATTTCTTTGTTTTACGCATTATCATTATGATCAACCATTCAGACAAAAGACCTTATTTGAAATATATTATTAATACAAAAGGTGCTAAAACGCGTAATAAATAGGACAAAAGACCATATACTAAAGACATTTTGTCTATGTGTTTATATGTGTTTATACTAAAACATGTATTTATCGCATACTATACTTTTCTAATAATAATACTGCTGAAACAAATAATTGGTGCCTTTACGCATCATAAAATTATTCTACATTAAGTGTATATGTTGTATACCTCATTACTTAAATTATACTAACTGGGTCCAATCCTTACGCATTTTTATCATGAGCTAAAATAATACAATTTATTAAAAAGTTAGCACATCGTAAACTTAGTTCATTCTCCGACGGCATCAAGATGCCGTCAGAGAATGAAATGTGTTCAAAATTATTTGATGTTAAACGCTTCCCCCAGTTCGTAATTTCCTGGATCAATAAGTTCATTAAGTCAAACACTATTTAACAGTCTTCTTTGTATATGAATTTATTCAGGAAATTATTCTTTATAATTCCCTGTGTATAATTCTTACTAACGGTCCTTAATTTTTCTT